AATGCACCATCCTCCTACTCACGAAGGTTTTTGCAGCAGACTCACTTTCAGTTCAGCGTAACTAGTTGACAGCATTTTCAGATTTCTTCGCTCCTCTGAATCATGAACTAGAAGAGCAAGCAAAGAAGGAAGGTGATGAAGAGGAAATCTATGCGAGATCGGCATTCATGGTAGGTCTCTAAAACAACATCATTGAGATGCCCTCTTCATCATTAATTTTCAGCGACGCCGCTCTGTGGCGCCAACGAAAGCAGTAGCTCCTGCTGCTAAATCTGTGATACCGCAAGCTAGAACGGTCCAAGCTGCTGAACGTTCAATGGAGTTAGCGTTAGATAAAATGAAGCTGGGCGATACTTCGGAAAATGAAGATGGGAAATGAATGCAGTGATCCTGACGACCTTAACAGAACTGGGGTTGGACTTGTAAAGTATGTTAATAGTCTTGGACTCTTCTTAATCAATTATTGCTAGAATTCCTGATCCACATATTTTCAAGGGAAGCTGTCACAAGTGTAGTTAATCCTTGGGACAGAAATCTTCGCATGGAGATACTCAGGCGTTCTCGCACTCCATGCTATCAACACAATTTCGATGTAAGGCATCAGTACATTCCTTCATTCTACCAACAGTATAGATATTATTCGTTGTTCCGGTTTTTTTTTCTTCCATTCACACTTTCGGATTCCCTCACAATTGCTTTTCAGAGTCCTTGTCCACGCGTTTCTGCTGGTAAAACTATGAGTTTTGGTGGTGAAAGTTTTCATATTGCGACTTTGATTGGTCAAGGTGGATTTGCAAAAGTATACAAAGCAGTAGATGAAGAAGGAAGAACACTTGCACTGAAGGTAGGATTTCTTGAGTGATTTCATTCAATGTCACATGAGTATACGCCTTGAATTCTGTTCTGTAGTACGAAGTTCCCTCTTGCCCATGGGAAGTTTACATATGCTCTGAAGTCAAATTACGTCTTGGTGCTAGCAAGCAGTTCACTTTGAAGAGTGTGATGGAGGTTGGTTGTAACTCACTCGTTCATATTGTTTGTCGTGTACTATCAAATTTTTGAGTTGGCAGTAGAACCTTCTCCTTTTTGTTGTAGTCAGATTTTTAGGTCACTGATGCCTACGTGTTCACCAATGCGTCAGTCCTTTTCAATGAATACCATTCCTACGGTACTCTTCTGGTACGTATCACTTCCATCCAACTTTTTTGTTATGAATATTTGCTGAACAATTCTGTAGAGTTCTCTGAGAAATAGCTTTAAAATTGAAAAGCTCAGTTTCTGTTCCGGTGGTTCCTGATGTTCAATGTTCACTCCATTCGACACATTCTCTCCACCATATCCTTCCTCTCGACCCCATAGTTCTCTTTTTTCCTACTGTGCGCGTGTTTCGATGGAGCTCCTAATAAAATTGGTAGTTACCCCCTACTTCCTTCGTACTGTTCGCCTTGCGTTTACAATATCACAGTTTCCGCTTACTCTCTATCTCACGTTGGGGCCCCTTCCAACCATTTCCTCAAGAATCCCGTTGAAAATATTAAAAAAAAACTCCCCAAACTGTTTTGCAATTCTAGTTTCGCTTTGGCCGATAATCGAGACCTGAGCACCCTACACTGCTCTCCACTTAAAGGTAGTAGCTCACCATCTGGCACACGCAAAAGTGCGATGCTGGTTAGCCGCTGATCTTCGGCTAAATCGGAATACATTCCGTATTAACAAGGTCCAGAAAGCACTTAAGAAACTTATGCTTCTCATCTAAAATTGGATGTTTTGCCGAAAATGCATCACTGCAGTAACAGTGTTGCATTTGGTAACGTAGTTTGGTGACATTTGCAAATTCAAATTGCAATAAACAAAACTGTTCGCAAATAAGATTATTAGAAATACATGTTAAAAACTTGTATTTTTGTCTTGCAGGATCTTTCGAACAAGTTGAACGACCCGAGCTGGTATATAATACTCTTGATAGCTATACAAATGGCCAAGGTACTCCGAGACGTACACAGCACAAAAATTATTCATGGAGATGTAAAGCCTGACAATTTCATGGTTCTCAACAAGTAGGGTTTGCCAACTTTTCGTTATTTATACATATCATCAGCTTGTAGTTTACTTATAATAACATTAATCCTATTCTTTATAACGTACACACATGATGTTCGCATAGGCTAAACGAAGGATATGAAGAAGCGGAGAGTATTCTGAATACGCCAGTTGTGAAGCTGATTGATTGGGGTCGTGCAATTGACATGCAAGTCCTTGCCGGGTCAGACATTCACAGGAAGAGCAGGAACTGACAGATTCGACTGTTCAGAAATGCTGGTGTGTTCGTTTACACTTGTCATTCTCATTATGAGCCTTTTGAAATCTGACCGTTTGGAAAGTGTTTAATTGATTATACGTGCTGATGCATATCAACTATTTTGACGACTTCCTCGACGCTTCCATTGGGCGTGTCATGGAATAGGGATACATGTTGGGTAAAGCAGGTGGGGCGATAGGAGGAAGTGCTCGTAACAGTGATGATTTGTTGGAAGAATGCGTGTAATGTGGATCAGGGTAAAATATTGAAAAGGCAACAGCACACTACAGAACCAGCAGAAAATCAGTTAAAAAGAGAAAAGTACTGCAATGTAGGCGGACGTTTGGTCGTACACATTAACCCATTGCGGACCGCCGTTATAATTGCACCTCCGTAGGTTTTTGTCATCTCTTTTATCAGTGGCCAATAATCTATCGAAAATTTAACCAGTACGCAATACTTGATATATCCTGTGTCTGAAAAAGTAAACTGCTGATTTTGTAACTTAGCAAAATGCTGAAAAAATCGAAGATTACTATCCTTCTCCGCGTGGTGGCGTGCTGCACATGGTGCAGCACGCGGTCCGCAATGGGTTAAATTTGGCCAGCAAAAGCTGTTGAGCTGAGCACAGATAACTACAGCAGTGTAATCAACAGCTTCGAAGCACGCATCGGATGTTCACATACCGTAGCGACCTGTCTTACTTGTATACATAGATACCTTTCATTTCATTCAATAAATAATATTCCTTTCGAATGTTTACTTTAAGAGTTTCAATCTCGAAATTTGATCCTTGAAGGTAGCAACCAACTCCACAGTCCCATCTGTTCCCCCTTTACG